TGCTCCCTGGTCTGGCAGCCACTGCCTTTTCTGCCAGGATCCCTCTCCACCATCCACTGACTCCGCCCCTCTTACAGGTCCAGTTAAATGGTTGTCAGACTTCCATACAGTTTAATTTTCTGCCTGTTCTGGTCGTGTTTTTGTTTCTAAATCTTTGTTGTCTTTAATTGTGGTTGTGCAAGGAGGCACAGTGTTTCCACCTACGCCTCCATCTTGGCTGGGTTCAAAGCTCTTTATGATATCATCATGAACCTTTCTACATAAATGTCTCTAGTCTCTGCTGTATGAAAAGTATCAAACATAATCTGTGATGGCCTAAGCCAAATTGAAATTCTGCAATGGACATGCAGAACCATACTGTATTCATTTTGATAAATGTTTATTAAGTGTCCTCTAGTTAAACAGAACATAGAGCCAATACTACCAGCCAATGCAACCTGAATCCCCAGTAGAACTTACATGGGGTCAGGGGGTCTAGACACACAAACAGATGCTCACCACAATGAGGCCTGTACTCTAAGGGTGAGGTTTGGATGCTTGAGTAGCATCAGAATTGGGAAGTATCAACTACCTGAAAATAAGGCTGGCACCTGGAATAGTGAACTTATATCCAGGTAAAGGTCTGGTGGAGGAACTGAAAGAAATTCAGCATTACTGTAGCCAAAAAGCTTAGATTTTATCCTAAGAGCAACATGTAATCACTGAAGGAGCTTAAGCAGGGAAGTGGTATGATCAGATGTATGTTAAAGATTATTCTGGCTGAATGTAGAGACTAGATGGGGATGAAGGAGTTGATAGAGGGACCCTCAGGTGGCTGTAGTAATCCAGGAAAGAAAGAATTGAAGCCTATATACCAAGGAAGTGGAAATGGAGAAAACTGAACAAGAGACAAGTCAAGAGAATTCTGTAACTGATAACTGACTGAATGGGAGAAAGGAGCTAGATAGAGGAAAGGCAGAGCCAAAGATTAGACACAGATGCTTGGCTTAATTAACTGAGTAAACTGCAACGATGCTGCTCACTACAACAGAGAATACAGCAAGTTTCCAGGGGAAAAGAGAAATTATACTCTGGACATTTTCAGTTCAGCTACCTGTGGGATATCAAAGTAGATATGTCCAAAAAGAGATCTGGATTGGAGATTTGGAAATCTGGCATGAGATCATCCAGGGGAAAGTTTATGGAGTAAGAAGAGAAGAGGATCTTGGAGTCTAAGAAACTCCAACAGCAAAGGGACAAGAACAGATACTCCATGGAAGAGACTGTGAAGAAACAGGCAGAGTAGGAAGAAAACCAGAAGAATGTCATGGAAGCCTAGGGATGTGAGCATCACACAAAGGTAGTAACAGTGCAGGGTGTTCCTGAAAGACCAAATAAGGTAAAGACTAAGGAATGTCAATTGGATTTGATAAGATTTACTGGCAACCCCTACAATAGTTTCAGAGAGGTTGTGGGTGGATGAGGGCAGATTGATGCAGGCAGAATGAGGAGCATGTGGAAGGTGAAGAGGAAATAATGGATATTAAAGTTCAAGAAGTTTGACTATGAAGGAAAAAAGTGAAATAGGGTAGTAATTTTAAAACAGGTGGGAGGTGAAGGCCACATTTTGGGTGGTCTTTTTATTTTAAACATGTTAGATGTAAAAATGTTTAAATGTTAATGGGAAGGAGACAATAGAAAGACAGAGAAGAAGACATACTGAGGTTTCTGAGAAAGTAATAGGAAATGGGATCTGACGCAAAATGTAGGTAAGCTGTAGAAAGGGGGGAAATCTTCCATTAAAACACAGGAGAAGAAGGAAAGGATAGATATGGATGAAAGTGGCTTTAATGATTAGGGAACCAGAAGTTGAAGGCAATTCCTTCCTCTCTCTCTCTCTCTATACACACACATACACACACATTCTACTGAGTCTGAATTTTTTATTTCTACCAGCAATTTATGAGGGTTCCAATTTCTCCATAACATGACCAACCCTTATCTTTCCTTTTATTATAGTCATTTTAGTGGGTATGCAGTGGTAGCTCATTGTGGTTTGATTTGCATTTGGGCACATTCTCTTTTGAGATCAGCTATAGTCCCTGTGAAGAAAGAAAAAAAAGTTTCCTGTTAAAAGTAAGAGGATAGATAGCAATAGAAAGTGGAATGAAGCAACAGCAAAAAAAGGTAGAGAGGTCTAAAGCAGTCACCAGGAGTATGATAAAGAGTTCTCACTAGGGAAACCTAAAAAGATGCTGAGACAGCCCAGTGGAAACTGGAAGTGTGAGAATCCTATTCATCTGACATCCTGTGAAATTTTCTTCTCTGGGGAAGTGTTTTGTTTTGTTTTGTTTTAAACTGATCTGACCAGAATTGGAATGGGAAGCTTCTCTGAGGATTTTTTTCATTTAAAGGCAATGACAGAAGTACTCCTGAAAAATCCACTGTTTTTGTGTTTAAAAATCCTACAACATACACATTAGAAATGACAGTTTGCATCAGATTTACTCTCCTTAACCCTTGAGAACAAAGCACATGTGTTCACTGCAGCAGATCTTACTGTAAGGACTTAAGCTATAATCATTAGGTACTAAATTCATCAAATGACAAAATGCAACAAACATCACACATCCATCATTCAAATAATGGGTAATTCTGCCCTGGCTGGTGTGGCTCAGTGGACTGAGTGCTGGCCTGGGAACCAAAAGACTTGGATTCCCAGTCAGGGCATGTGTCTGGGTTGCAGGCCAGGTCCTCAGTTGGGGGTGTGAGAGAGGCAACTGATTCACGTTATTTCTCACAATGATGTTTCTCTTCCTCTCTTTCTCCCTCCCTTTCCCTTTCTCTAAAAAATAAGTATATAAAATCTTTTAAAAAATGGGTCATTCCTTTAAAACATGTCAGAGAATTATATCACAAACCATTAACAATTTAACACTGATAATAACAATCACATACAAATAATAACCAATTACATGAAAGAAAATGACTTTTTACTGTCAGTTACCTTGTAGGGTATGAAATACAGCCAGTTTAGTTTAACTAATTCAGTAAGTATATCCTTATATATTTAATTAATTTAGACATTTATCATTAAAGCACACTGCTGCATACCAGGGATCACATCTTGGAACTGACTTATATGTGAGCCAGATTTAAACCAAGGATTTTGTGGCACAAAGCGCTAGTTGCTTCACTTATCTTTTGCTTAGTAATATAATACCCCAAAACTCAGTGGCTTAAAACAACAGCAATGCATTGTTCCTCTCAATTTTGTTTTACCTGGACACAGCTGGGGTTAGTCATGAGGTCATAGGCACTGGGGGAACTTAACTAGGGTCTCTCCGTGGTCTCACTCTTCATCTAAGCTCAAGCCTCCAAGCCCAAAGCCTGACTTACTGAATGTAGTACACAAAGGAATAGTATAGTAATAATAAAGATCTTTGACTTCCCTTCAGTTTTATCAGCACTATGACTTTCAGATAAAGTAGGACAGTGTCTCAGGCTTTCCAGCTTGAGCTGATGGAGCCAAACTCTGGTTGGAACATGCAGGTACTCTTTAATTCTAAATTTTTAAAAGAATTTTTTTAAAGCTGAGAACTTCATAGCTTTGGTTTTTATGGCTATTTTCTGAAGCTCCCAGAACTTGATCATTTGGATCACACACATAATCACTGTGCAAGAAAAATGTTAAATGACTAATATCTTTCCTCTTTATAAAAAAAAAGACTACAAGGATAGACTGATTGACTCCTATTCATAAAATAGATTTAAAGATATCAGTCCTGGCCAATGTGGCTCAGTTGGTTGGAGGATTGTCCAGAGACCAAGGATTGAGGCTTCGATTCCCATCAGGGCACACACCAGGTTGCTGGTTTGATCCCCAGGCAGGGAGCATAGAAGGCAACCAATGGATGTTTCTCTCTCTCTCTCTCTCTCTCTACCTCCTTCTCCCTTCCTCTTTCTCTGAAAGCAATGAAAAAAATGTCCTTGGGTAAAGATTAAAAAAAAAATCTCCATCCCACAGAGAATCTAATGCACAGCTATATACCCAACCCTGAAGGCAGTTCAAAGAGGTGAAATTCACCCAGTGCTCACTTCAAATGGATACTTTGTACAGTTTAAACCACATAATAAACTAACATCAGGGTTAAATCATTTTTCATTCCTTTCAGCATTATATACTTTGATGTTTTGATGTTCTAATTTCACAATGCACATCAGTTTCAGAAACTCAGTTTCTGCTTCCAAGGGCTGTAATCCTCCCCCCAAAAAGAATAGGCCAAAGATAAATAAGAATGAATTTGTTGTTTTAAAAGCATTATTATAATATTGCTTTATAAAATTGTGATCCCTAACTGCAGAGTTCTGCAGCAGATGACTTCGGAGTGTCTCACACGCAAATAAACATAAGCAAAAAGCCACTTACAAAAGCTGAAGGACCGTGCCTCGATGGTTATCTTAAACACAACAGGTAGTTTATCTGAGGCAGGACAAGAAAAATGTCATTTCACTCAGTTAACCGCACTCCTGGATAAAGATGTCTACTCTGTGAAGAGCCTTTTATGGAGTTCCATGCTGTGGGGGAATGGGAAACTGAAGAATACGGTCTGAATACCACTACTCTCCCCTGCGGAGGCGAAGGAGGCGGTGCTAACATCTAGAGGAAAGGCGATCGCAGATGATGAGGGCCAAAGGAGGTAGCTCTCGCAAAACAACAACCAGAGCAGCGACAGACTTGAGCTAGAAGCAAAACCGCGTCCCTGTAGCTAAAAAACGAGAAGGAGCAAAGAAAACTTCCCCTAGCCTGTTCCCACCCGTTTCCTCCTCGTAGGACGAAGAAACAAACGCTAGCTAAGGTGCTAACTACGCGGAGTCGAAGGACCAGAACCCGCAGCCTGAGGAAAAGCGGGAGGGAGCAAAAGCAACTGGGCACGCCGGCCCGGCCCGTGGGGAATGAGACGCAGGGAAGGGAAGGGAAGGGATGAAAGCGACCTTTGAGAGCTCGCGTGCGCACTCACCGGCTACCTGGAAGGCCAGCCACTGCCCCTTGCCGCCAGCCGAGCCCACCCCCCGGGAGCGCCTTGGGAACCTCTGAGGATTGGCTGGCGGAAGTAACGCTAGCGGGCCGCAGCGCCCAAGGCCAGTCTAGGGGCGGTGAGAGAGACAGGGAGCAAGGGGCGGGCCTTCCGTATCACGTGCTCCCGGCAGCCTCACGTGACGCTGGCGTAGTGGTCCCCAACCAGCTCCCACTGAAAGCCGCCCTTTGGCTTCGCTTGCTTTATGGCGGTGGGACCATGGGCCTTCGGCATCTGTAGAAGAAGATTAGCTGTCCAAGTCCAGCCTTCCGGCCCTACGAAGCGTCGCGGTGGAGCCTGGTGGCTGCGGAGGCCGACAGGTTTTGTTGGCGAGTCAGAGACGCGCGAGGGGTGTTCTCCTGTTCTCCCGTGATGACTTGGCAGCGGGGAGGGTCAGCCTAGGCCAGAAAGGCTACTGACAACTTCTTTCCCTGCACCTTGGCGTGCCACCCACGTGGTGCTGCCTGCGGTGAAGGACCGGAGAGGAGAGACTCGTTTTACTGCACGTTTCCCTCGTGTACCCACACTCACCTGAAAAGCGTATAAGTAAGGCAGAGGCTAGAGAATGTGGCAACTGCACCAAGATAAGAAGGGAGTGAGGCACCGGGCTTAGGTGATTGCAGGAAGTCAGAGGTACCTGGGAAGCTGGCTGTCAAGGTCGGGAGAGACCTAAGGTGGCAAATGGCCCAAGCCTTTTCTAAGATTTATTTATTTATTTATCTTTAGAGGGGAAGGGAAGGAGAGAGGGAGAGACATATCAATGTATGGTTGCCTCTCATGAGTCCCCTGCTGGGAACTGGCCTGCAACCCAGGTATGTGCCCTGACTGGGAATCCAACGGGGATACTCTGGTTCACAGGCCTGTGCTCAATCCACTGAGCTACACTAGCCAGGGCTCCCCCCAAGCCTTTTCTTAATATAAATGAGTAAACTAGGGCCTGGAAAGGGGATGCTTCATGCCATTCCAGCCTATTATCTATGGAGATGAAATCACTCATAAAATACTGTACCACTTCTGAAAAAGTCCTAATTGGCTCTACAGAATGAAGTCCAAACTTCCTTTCATAACTTTCCAAGGAGTCTCATTCAAACTTTTCCCATTCGAGCTCCCATGAATGAAAACTTTATTTTCTAATCATCACCAAATAGCTCCACTATTTACTAAAAAAAGCCTCCTTTCCCTCATTTTCCAGCACTTCCTCAACAGTATTCTATCTCTGACTATAGAGAATTCTTGTTTTCTTTAACTACTCAACTTTTTTGGGATTACTACTCCCTAAGTATCTTCATTCCTTTTTGCATTTGTTCATTCTTTTGCCACTGTCTGAAACTACCTTCTCCCTCCTTAAAGAAAACAAGGGCCAAACAATTGTTAGAAATGTAAAAATAGATTTTATCAGAAAGTATTGCAACAGGAGAATTGAGGCAGGCTGTTTTCCCCTATTTCAATAGTTTCTTTTTTTAAAATATACTTTATTGATTATGCCATTACAGTTGTTCTATTCCCCCCCTTCATTCCCCTCCACCCTGCATACTCCCCCCCCCCACCATTCCCCCCCTTTAGTTTAGGACCATGTGTCTCAAGTTCTTTAGATTCTATATTTCCCCTACTATTCTTGCCCTCCCCCCTATCTATTTTCTATCTACCATCTATGCTACTTACTTTTTGTACCTTCTCCCCCCTTCTCCTCCTCCCACTCCCCTGTTACTAACCCTCCATGAGATCTTCATTTCTATGGTTCTGCTCCTGATCTAGCTGTCCTCTTAGTTTGCTTTTGTTTTAGGTGTGGTTGTTAATAACTGTGAGTTTGCTGTCTTTTCACTGTTCATCTTTTTTATCTTCTTTTTCTTAGGTAAGTCCTTTTAAAATTTCATATAATAAGGGCTTGGTAATGATGAACTCCTTGAATTTGATCTTATCTGAGAAGCACTTTATCTGTCCTTCCATTCTAAATGAAAACTTTGCTGGGTAGAGCAATCTTGGATGTAGGTCTCTGGATTTCATGACTTGGAATACTTGTTTACAGCCCCTTCTTGTCTGTAAGGTCTCTTTTGAGAAATCCGCTGACAGTGTGATGGGAACTCCTTTGTAGGTGACTGTCCCCTTATCTCTTGCTGCTTCTAGGATTCTCCCCTTCATTTTAATCTTGGCTAATGTAATGATGATGTGCCTTGGTGTGTTCCTTCTTGGATCCAACTTCTTTGGGACTCTCTGAGCTTCCTGGATTTCCTGGAAGTCTATTTCCTTTGCCAGATTGGGGAAATTCTCCTTTATTATTTGTTCAAATAAGTGTTCCACTCGTGGCTGTTCCTCTTCCTCTTCTGATACCCCTATAATTCGGATGTTGGAGCATTTAAAGATGTCCCGAATGTTCCTAAGTCTCTCATTTTTTTGAATTCTCGTTTCTTCATCCTTTTGTATTTGGTCATTTTTTTCCTCTTTCTCATCCACTCCTTTGATTTGAGTCCCAGTTTTCTTTCCATTACTATTGGTTTCCTGTGCATTTCCATTCATTTCAATTAGTTTAGCCTTCATTTGTTCCTCTAATTTGTGACTAAAATTAGCCAGTTCTGTGAGCATCCTGATCACCAGTGTTTTGAACTGTGCATCTGAAAGTTTGGCTATCTCTTCGTCCCTTAGATTTATCGGCTCTGGGGCTCTGAGTTGTTCTTGAGCCATGTTTTGATCTGTTTGTGCCTGTTACGTATGAGGAGAGGCACCCTAGGTGTTCACCAGGGTGGGGCCACCCAGGTTGCTGGTTTGTGATGCTATATGTGGGGGCGGGGTCAGAGAGAGACAATGGCGGTCCCCTCTGCCGCTTCCCGCCACTGGGGCCTGCACGGTCTGTCTCACTGCTTGCTTCTTCACTGGTTTGTCTGCGCATGAATGTGTGACCGTTGTCAGCCCTCAGTGGGTCCACCGCCTTGTGCCCTCAGTGGGTCTGTCTGCTGTTATGCCACACCTGGGATCCGCCCACGGCTGCTGGTGCCTGACCCCACTCTGCTGTTGGCTCTGTCCCTCTTACTGGTTTGGCTGAAGGTTTGTTGTTGTCGTCAGACTTCCATATAGTTCAACTTTCTGTGGTTTGGCTGCGTGTTTGTTGCTAAAACTTTGTTGTTTTTAAACTTGGTTTTGAGAGAAGGCACAGTGCTTCCACCTATGCCTCCATCTTGGCGGAAGTCTTTAATAGTTTTTTTTTTATTTTTTAGATTTTATTTATCTTTAGAGAGGAAGGGAAGGAGAGAAGGAGAGAAACATCATTGTGTGGTTGCCTCTCATGAGTCCCCTGCTGGGAACTGGCCTGCAACCCAGGCATGTACCCTGACTGGGAATCGAACCACGATCGTGTGGTTCACAGGCCTGCGCTCAATCCACTGAGCTACACCAGCCAGGGCTAATAGTTTCTTAATAAAATCTGTTTTTACAGCTTTAACTACTGTCAGGCTCTGCTCTGGTTATCTTTTTTTTTTTTTAATTCTTAACCAAGGACTTTTCTCATTGCTTTTAGAGGGAGAGAAACATCACTTGGTTGTCTCCCATATGCACCAAGACCCAGGATGGTCTGTGCCTGAACCTGGGCTAAGAACCCACAACCCAGGTATGTGCCCTGACCACTAATTGAGCCCACAAGCTTTCAGTTGTAGGATAATGCTCAAACCAACTGAGCCACACTGGCCTGGACAGGCTTAGTTACTTTTAACATCGCCCCAAGGTACATATCAGCCTTGTCTTTCAGAATCTAGGTCAAATACCACTTACTCTTGTCTTCCTGCCCTATTTCCTCCTCCCTGATTCAGCAGCATCAGGAATTGAGGTTCACTCAGACACTGACAACTGTAATTTCTTCCCAGACACTGTCAACTGTAATTTCTTCCATTATGGACACTGTACATAGTCTGTTATATAAATCTCACATTGTCCAAAAATGTACTGTGCATTTCCTATAAGAGGTAAATTAGTTATCGCTATTGTCTTCCCTAGCTTATGAACAATTTGAAACAGAACTTCTGAGCTTGGTACAGTACCCTGGATATCCATTAAAAGAAGTGGCTTCACCAAGGCCATAGTGGTTCAGTGAATTTATTTTTAAAAAGCCTACTTTCCTCAAAGAAACTGAAGTCAGTTTCTTTAGGCTACAACTTCGTCAATACTTTTGAGGGGAGAAAATGGGGGCTTGGGGTTTGAGTCATCAAATATTTGATAGAAGACAAGTAGTAGGTAGATTAAGAAGGGAGGAAAAGACCTTCCAGGAAAGAGAGCAGTATGTTCAAAGGTAGGGAGGCATGAATCAGTATTACTTCTTTAGGAAAAGCAAGTAATATTGTATGGCTGGACTTAGTAACCTCCATTACCTCTGGGACAAAGGAGACCTAATTAGTTAATGTTGATGCACTCATCAACATTAGAATGACATATTTATTAGTATTATGTATCGAACTAACTTTCTATCAGCCAAATCATACATTCTTCACCTAACATTGGCCTGTGGACTCATACTAGGTGACTTTTTACCACCTTTTTTTTTTAACTTCCTAAAACTCTGTATAATTGTCCTATAAAAAAACCAAAATTACTTGTTCCAAAAAAAATTATTTGACAGCACTCTAAACTTTTTCTACAGAGCAAAATAACTTAATTTATGAGTAGTACTTTAAAAAAGAAACTGGGCTCCACCTGCAGAGGTGGGGGAAGCCTATTGATGTTCACACTAATAGATGGCTATCCTAGTAAAAAAGTATCTACCAAGCCTGGCTGGTGTAGCTCAGTGGATTGAGCCCGGGTCTGAGAACCAGACAATCGCGGTTCGATTCCCAGTCAGGGCACATGCCAGGGTTGCAGGCCAGTCCCCTGCAGGCCAGTTCTCAGCAGGGGACACACGAAAGGCAACCATACATTGATGTTTCTCTCCCTCTCTCCTTCCCTTCCCCTCTAAAGATAAATAAATAAAATCTTTAAAAAAAAAAGTATCTACCAAGAACCTAATGAAATACAATTCATTTAAGGTTTAAGTTGGAATGAGACATAGAATAATTTTAATCATTCTTGGGGGTTCAGAATTACATTTCAAAAATTAATCTTA